TATTTTGTTAATTTTGCAGTTTTAAAATGATTGACTAATAAATGGATAACAGTTGGCTCTTAACTAGACAGTAATTAATCTCTAGTTGTTTTTTTTTCATCAACTTTGAAGACAGATAATAGAAATTACAATGAATTTTTGAGATAAGCTAGTTAGCTTTCCTGCCTCTATGTATAATGTTAAAAGTTGTATCTAAATACTACAGCTAACAGTTATCCTTTTTAAGCCGGATGTTATCATTTACAAAAAAAAACAAATAAACTCGTAGTTCTAAAATGATTGCAACATATTTATTTTTGTAAATGTTGTGATACATGGACGCTTTAAAGTACAATTAAGCAAGGTCAAATAGATAATAGGCAGTATGATACTTTAAGGTTTTTAAGAATTACTTGTTTGTGGTCATTGTTAACTCTTCAGTATGTTTGCAAATACTGTGAAGTAAAAACCTATGATCTATTATCTTTATTTTTAAAACAGATATTTATCAATCAATTGAGTTTTCCCTAGTCAACTGTTGCAAAAGTGTATATTTTTTAATCAAATAAGAACATATGTAATTACAATATGTAAGTACCTACACTCTATGTCAAATATAAGCAACATTACCCTGTATCTGAACAAAGGATAACAAGCTATCATAAAGTTATTTCTTTCATCTCGCTATTTAAATTTTGTTGCATAAATAACACTTAGGCTCTTCTAAAGAAATTGTTGGCTGCAAGGAAATTTGACATCAAGTCATTTCTACATAACAAACTATGAACACGAACAGAAAATGATAAAATGTTACACGAAATGGCCTTCATCACAGAGGCTGCATTCCACTCCAATAACACTGCCTTTTGGAATAGTAAGAGAATGAAATGATTGATGGAAACTGTGCATTGAAAACACAAATTTAGGTCTGATAAACATTGGAAAACCAGATGACTACACTGAAACTAGTTTGTAACTGAACAATGCAAGAAAATCACAAACACTGCCAGGATTGTGCTTCCAAGGATCACAACAGAGGTCAAAGCAGTGCACATTTCAAAGATTGAAAATGACAACCTGCCGGTCTCCCTCCATACAAGTACAGCAGAAAAATACATAAATACAACTAGATAATGATAGTGTCCTGCAATGAAACAGGAAGAAGAAAGAACCAAAATATTATCAATTACAAATACTTGATATGATTCGAAATGAGAACACAGTTCTTTTTTAAGCTTTCTCTAGAGTAACTCAGAGCACGAAAGACTTTTCCATTCACCCCAAATCTTTCGTAAATATCACACTTAGTTTCTACTGCGCATTCTCTCCCTGCTCGTGCACAAAATGGACACTCTTCAGAGATGCCGGCTAACACAACTACATCTTAGGCTGCTGCATAAGTGAGCTTGTGTCTTTTCTTGGTGGCTAGAAGAAGCAACAGTTTAGGAGCTTGGTCTAAAATTTATCAGTCATCTTGTGGAGTAGTCTGATTTAAGTCTGTACCAGAAGGAACACTGTGGTGCAGAAAAATAGAATCCTGCAAAATAATCAGAATCATTAGGCATAAAAACTTGCATAGACAAACACATTGTGAAAGCTCTGAAATGCTTACCAGAATACTCTCTGAACACTAGCCCCTCAACCCGACATTCCGAACACAGCCTCAGAAGACCATTAATTTGGGAAACATCAGCCATTGTGGATAGACAGGGATATATTCATTTCACCAGTTGGACACTGGCACAAAGTCTTGTCCAAGAGAACAGTTACAGGGTCGATGCAATCTCGCATTCAAACTATAATAAAAAAGACCTTTCCTCCTGCTGATGGTACCGTTGCCAACAGGCCACGTAGCCCAAGCTCACATCAAAGTCTTTCAACAAAGCACTTTAATCAACATCCATGCTAGGGACTTGGTTAATTTGGTTGATTGCCAGCAATCAGAAAGATTCTATTAAACAATAAAAAGTATAAAGTTAAAATAAGCCAGTAGTTAAAAAGAAATACAATATCCATATTGTAGTAGAAAACTTACTTGCCAGTGTTTTCCAAAGTCAATATCTTGAGGAGGTTCTGCTGTCGCAGTTCGGTTGCATCTAACAATGTCCACATCCCGCTCACAAGCATTGACTGCAGAGGTCTGAGGATCAGAAAAAAGAAAACATTACATCGGGGAAAAGGGAAGTGATTATACAGTTCAAAACATTTCATGCCGGTAAATAAGAGCTTAATTTTCTTGACTAGCAGATGTCTCAGTCTCATCATGCTGAGAGGTCATCTCCTCAGAGCTGCACAGTAGACCAAAACCAAAAGGCCTTGCGCCTACTAAATCACATTTCTTTGAATGTCCAATACAAAACATAAGAAGGGCCGTTCCTGATGGGACCGGTGCCAACAGGGCAAGTCGCCCTAGCTCACGTCAAAGTCTTTCAAAAAGACAATTTAATCAACATCCACACTACTTTCTTGGTTAGTTAAACCTGTAATCCAGAAACATGAATGGACTTAGTTTTGGCCCATTATTATGTGCACATTCTCAAAACACTGGACTACTTACGAGTCTGAGATTCCAAACAGCCTCAGGAATGGATAATTAATTCAGGCCCTGCAGTGCAGACTCTCCATTTTTTTTGGATAATCTCATGGCTCAGAACACAAAAATCCTGGCCAGGATGGTTACAGGATTGATGCAATCTGCAAGTGAAAATATGAGGATTGTATCCCGATGGGACCATTGCCAGCAGTTTTCATCAATTCATTTAATACATTTCAGCAGATATGAAAACTTGAAATGGGGCCTGTCTATCAGAGCAGCTCTAATAGTTAATCACAACCTGCCTCTGTTCTCAGCAAAAACATGGGTCTGACACATTTCCTGGGCTTCCGGGGAGAGGCATGTTGTCAGGCAATGTCAGGGGCCATTATTTCTTAACCAACCAAAAAATAACATATGCACAGAAGTGGAGCAAGTGCGAAGGGGAAGGAGGACCAAGTGCAGACTCTCTTTAATATGTGCGTACCTGGATATTCTAGCAGATAAACCACAGGATGATGATGGGCGGCCAACAGTTAGAAACACTCTTAGAATGAATACAGATCAATCTCAGCCACCTGTCACACAAAAAAATTATAATATTAATAATTAACCAACTACACAGGAGCTACCACAATTTCCTTCAAAACATGTGAGCCAAGATTTGTACGAAACCATACCTGTACAATTCTCCACAATCCAGTCCCACTACCATAGATTCCGATTGAAGCTGCTGTTGGTGTTACATTGAACATTGGACTTTGCTTCACAACTTTCTTATTCGGTCATCTGATTCTCCTCTTCCCGTTCGAAGCTCTTTCCTTATCCTTGAAACCTGCATCGTAAGAGTGGAAACATGAAGCTATAAACCCGAGCAGAGCACACCAGAAACACTGAAGAGCAACATGTTTGCAAGTTACTGTGAACCAGATGCGTGTCTTTACTCGCCCTTTCTGAGACAGGCCTCCTCGCGTCTCCTCGATACAGCTCATGATAACTCGTTTCTTTCAGGCGCTAATAACGTACGCCCAGTCCAAATGTGGCTTAAAAGTACTAATGGAAACAGATCAGGATATCATGGTCATGGTGAAGTCTGTCACTTGCAGTAGCTCTGATGGCCGTTCCCCGCCCATACCTTCAGTAGACAGGTGAACTCTGAGGGAGGGTGGACTTGTCTCGCCCCAGTGTGATGCATTTGCACACTCCACGCACGCTACCAGTGAATAATCCTGCAAGACGACAGAAGACGTAAAAGTTAGGAACACAGTGCACAGGTAGGTAGGGTCGGTTTTTTGGTCCCAGTGCGGCAGAAACGCGAGGAGGAAAGTTCGGACTGGGTAGTGGTAAGGTTAGGGTGCACCGCACAGGAGCGATTCAGATAACAATGGACGCAAGTACCCATCCTGTTCGTGCGAACGAGCGCTCGGCGAACGCAAGGAGAGATATCTAAAAAGTAGACGATTGAGTTTGGACAGTTGAAATGGCCCCGTCAAAAAGAAGAATGTGTCTTCGCTTTGGGGGCACCGCGGAGTTGGACACCATGTTGTCCGCGTAACTTTTCTTGGGGCCCGGACTTTAAAGCCAAAAGCGAAAGCATCAGATTGCGAAGGGCGGACAGGTACTCACATTACTACTGTAATCAACGACTAGCTCGAAACTCATCGTCTTCCACGGCGAACGACGTCGTAGAATTATGTTTTGAAGCTCGCAGACGCGACGGAAGGCACAAATAAGCACAAATCAAAACAAACAACTTACAACTTTCGACTTCAATGACAATCGCAATATTACTGTTGATTCCGGCTGCGGAATTTCTCATACGGCGGGGCAGTGTCGGGGTGTCGACTGTCGTCCTCTAACCGCCCGAAGCGACTCATGCCTCGGGCGACTTTACTTTAAACTTGACTCGCTCGGGATCGGCCTCTGGCAACCCGGGCGGGAGACCAAAATAAGAAATAGTCGTATATACATACTGACGAAAAGACATCACAGGTGCCCCAGCCCCTGTCACCACGCGAACAACAAGAACTAGTGTACATGAACATGAACACTCGTACTTTTCGGTTTAGTCAAATGCAAAGACTGGGGATCGGGATGTATTTGCATGAAGTGGTGTTCGAACTGGCCGAGCAGAGCTTTCGTAAACGTCAAGAATTTGTCTGATAAGTTGTTAGTGTCGTTTTCAGTAGTTCTTTGATTCCCCTTGATTTGCATTCTTTACTTTTCGAATCCATTTTCAATGACAACCCCTCTGTCTGGATTTAAAGCCAAAAGTATATCTACCCTATAACCTCCATCTTTCCATAATTCCTCTGTATAGAAACGACTGAAATTTACATAACATCACAAACTCTAGTTTCACTTTCTTTGATCACTTTATTTTTTTCTCTTTTCAGGTTGACATGAGTAGTAGGTGTTATTTTGCTTGAACCGAAATCATTGTGATTGGCAAGGCAAGGCGCAGAGCATCCTGGAATTAACTTTCACAGTCTTGTCATTTGCCTTGGTAGCCGAGCTAGCTCTTGACTGCCATCTATCCTGTGAAATGGAGAAGCAAATAGAGAAAACAGATGCCCTCAGGTAAAAACATCTTTGACTAAATTTAGTATTTATTTTATACCATTGTCTATTTTCTGCCACCCTAACCTTTTTGTCATCACTTCTGCCTGGTACATTAAAAGTAATGTGAACTTTTTAAAACTAAGAAGTTTGTTTAAACTATGGTAGTCCTATGTTTCCTTTACAGGCAACCAGAACAAAGACGTCCTATATTTGTTTTGCTCAGGTGACTTGAACTCTCCAAACAAAGGGATGTGGATCCGCCAAAACAGCAGGTTTTGAATATCTCATTCTAGTGGAGATCTTGTTATCTCTATGAGGACTGTCAGCCTGTGATGTTTAAGAGGAAAGGTATGTTTGCTACAAAGGCTTTATGTTGAGTTTTCCCTGAACTCATTGAAACTAAAACAACCATATTATGAAAAAATCATTGCAATCATTGTTGAGCAGACATGGAGCTTGTGCTGCACTGGACAAATGGAATTTCTTGAAAAGGTACTTTTATGAACTAGCGTGATTGACAGCCTTTGTCTCAGAGATTTATTTCACCTTGTGCCTCGATACTTCTTGGTGCGGTGTGTTGATCAATAAGACGATTGGATCTGTGTTACTTTCCTTACATTTTGTGCCTATGGA